AAAAAAAAAAAAAATCAAACGAACAATTATATCTGACTTGATTGTTTATAGTTCATGATGCATGATCAAAACCGAAAGTTTCTGTGATGACTGCCCTTGTACTGTTCACCATGTAAGAACTTATTCACTATGTAAGAACTTGTTCACCATGTAAGAACTTGTTCGTTATGCTTCAGAAGATTGGAGACTGTTGAGAATTAAGCTTGGGGTTGATTGATGATTGTGCAATGAGTCCCCTATACCGAATTTTATTGTTGTTAACAACCATTTGATCAATAAATATGAGAGATGCCCTCTCAAAAAAAAAAAAAATCAAACGAACAATTATATCTGACTTGATTGTTTATAGTTCATGATGCATGATCAAAACCGAAAGTTTCTGTGATGACTGCCCTTGTACTGTTCACCATGTAAGAACTTATTCACTATGTAAGAACTTGTTCACCATGTAAGAACTTGTTCGTTATGCTTCAGAAGATTGGAGACTGTTGAGAATTAAGCTTGGGGTTGATTGATGATTGTGCAATGAGTCCCCTATACCGAATTTTATTGTTGTTAACAACCATTTGATCAATAAATATGAGAGATGCCCTCTCAAAAAACAAAAATAAAAATAAAAATAAAAAAGGCTAGTGTAAATTTAAAAATTCATAAACAGTACCAAAGGGCCATCCTTGTAAATACAGACTGTGATGAAAGGTGGTTTCATGTGTACCGCACAAAAATCCTTACATAATGCCAGAATAAAAAATCCAAGTCAAAGTAAATTACTTTGCCCATTGGTCTATTTCCATAATGTCACTTGAACAAAAGGAGAGCATTAATTATTTTTTATTGAACTTGACAAAGCCCTAAGATATCATCAGTCTTGTGAGGCAAAAAACCAGAGGCAGTTCACTATGATGGGGTATACAGATTAGAGAAAGAATAGAGGAAAGGCCTGTGGCAGACTGTGTTTCCAAAGATGGTCACAACAATACCACCCATCCTTTTTCCTCTTCTTCAATGTGACCTTGCTACTCCCCCATCAAGGGGTAGAATCCATTTCTTCACCCCCTTGTGGATATTGTGACTGCTTTAACCACTTTAACCAACAGAACATAGTGAAGTAACCTGCACCAGTTTTGAGAATAGTCCTCAACCAGCCCTGAATTTCTGTTTCCTGTCTCCCAAGAGCTGGCCATCATGCAGAAAGTTTGACCATCCTGAGAAGCCATAGCCTTGCAGAGAGGCCCTAGAAAATAAACTCCCAGCTTGGGGGCGTAAGGGAACTAAAGACTCCTAAAGTACCAAACAAGCCATTTGGAAGTGAATCTTCCAATCCAACCAACTCTACTCATGTCACATGGCTAAGAGACAAACTCTTCCTCAATTGCTAATCCACAAAAATGTAGGCAGAATGAATTATTGTTTTAAGCTTCTAAATTTTGATATAGTTTGTTACATAATGATAGATAATTCAAACACCATCCTTACAATGAGCCTGTGATTCCTTATTAAAAGGCCACCTATGCCCCCCAAATTTGGGGAACATGTTTTGTACATATATTAGCTCTAATTATCAGGACAGAGAAACCATGCCAAGCATAGACTGGTTTGCCACCTATGCCTAGTGGAGAACAGCCAACCTTATCATAGCACTTAATACAAGCACTTGCTCACCAAAGCACTTGCCTAATTTACATAGAAAATTACAAATGTTGGAATCTCCCTGCACTAGTCCACAATGATAACAAAGTTCTTTTCTTATATTTACTCAAGTAAATTTCCAAAGCCTGCTAACTTGCCTAATCAGTAAAACACTGTACCACAGAAACAAAAATTTTTATTTCTAAAGGAAGAATCTTCTTTTATCAATCAGTTAACAGATAAAGGAAACTACTACAAAAGCTTTGCTAAACTTGCTAGTGAAACAAACTGTGATTAACAAAAATTGGGCAACAATAAAATAAATTTAAATATATCCAAAACAACAATTGTTCCTTTAAGAGAAGGAGAGATGGCAGATTCCAAGTCTAGGGCAAAGAAGCCATCTAAAGACTATTAGGATCATGTTAACAGGACTCATGCAACAACTTGAAGGGTGTGACCTTAGTCAAATGAGACAACTTGAGGATTATTAAGGATAATAAGTACAATGGACTGACACATTAAATATATTGAAAGCTATGAATTCTTAACTTTATATACTTTTTAAAAGTCTCATTGGTCACTTTCAAAAGATGCTAAGGAACTAATTCATTATTTTGAAAAATGATAAATTAAGAAATATAATCAAGCATTTATCCTGTTTTCCTAATCAAACTGTATCTCACTGTAATAGTGAATGATGGGAAATTTCTCTTTATAGACAACTAATAAATGAAAGAATGACAGAATATCACCAATCTGCAATCCTAATGAATTAACAATGATGCTCAATAGTGCTAACACCACAAAAGTGATGAGCAATAAGTCACTATATGCCTCCTATTGAAAACTAGCAATAACTATGGAAAAAAATGCCCCCACCTCAATAAACAAACCTGAACACAGATCTAATCAAGCCTCTCCATATAACTGACAATTTTTATAAAATGCATGAGACAGAGAAACATGGTAACACCACATGGAAGCAAATACAAACTGTGGGAAATTTTAGAGGCAAATGACCTAGTTGCTTCAATAAATAAAGTGTGAGGAAAAAAGAAGAGATGAAAAGGAACCCATAAATTAAAAGAAACTTAAGTGATATCAACCAACTGCAATATCCAGACTTTATTTAGATTTGACTAAAACTGTTAAAAATAATTCACAAAACAATCAGGAAAATGTGAAAGCTGGAAGGATACCTAATGATATTAAGAAATGTTTACCTTTTCAGGTGTGATAATGATATTATGACTACACTTTAAAAACATACCTTTTCTTTTAGAAATAGACACTGAAATAATTATAGAAGACATGCTAAGGTAAAAGATTTGCTTCAAAATATACTTGAAGGGAGGTTAAAGAGATGAAAAAAGATTGACCATAAATTGATAACTGTTTCAACTAGGGCATGAGTACATGGAGTTTCATTTTATCACTCTATTTTTATGTATACTTATAATTTTCCTCAATAAAAAAAAAATAAGAATGAGCAGTTAATTGTACTATACTTTTTTTCATTTGTTCTTTCCCTAAGTATATTTTTACTTACCTTGTTCAGTATTAGCTATCAGAGGTTAGGAAAATTTACTACTGTAGGAAGCAAGAATAAGAACTAGGGTAGAAACAGAACTTAATCATAGGAAAATAACTGAAAAAAAAAAAATGCTTTAGGCACATAAACAATATGCATATTATTTCTTAATGAAATATGGTTTTTATCAAGTTACCAAAAATTATACCCCTGTACGTACACACACACATACTCAATTTTTCTTTCTTTCTCTGGGATGTATACTTACCACTTTCCATCTTTCTTTGACCAGGATTCCAACACTGAGGATATCCGGCTGCTCTCCTCCTCCACTCATTGCAATTCACTGATGTGGTAGAATGGCTACACAGGCATCCAGCTCCCACGGGTGGTTTCCATTTAACCTAAAACAAAAGAAACAGCAGCTAATTAAAATATTCCATCACCGAATAGCACTACTAATCCTATACATTAATTAGGTTGCTTTCTTGGAAAATGCAGGAAAACCCTACAAACTCAGTTCAGCCCATATAAAAAAAAAGTACTTAACTTTCCATTACAAATGCCCAGTGGAATAGCTAGATATTACAAAGACATTATGTTACAACACAGATATGATTCACAATAACTGATATTGCTAGACTGTAGGACAAGCAAGGTGTCAATGGCAGTTGATTTAGACAGACCACGATTAGAAATACAACATACTGCTAAAGAAAAAGACACGGTACCTAATTTACAACAGCTTATAGTTTAACAGGTTGTAACTTAGAGCTTAACATGATCAAAACTAATAAAATTTTAATGTTACATAATGCACTTATAATGCATATGAAATAAACATGAGCCACAGAAAAGGACTACTGATCAAACCAAACAGAATGATATTGTAAGAAAAAGAGGGTAATAAGAACAGCATACCTATAGAAAATGAAGATACAGCAGAAAAGCATGTCCTAAAGAAGATGGAAATTGTGACCTAAAATTACAAAACAAACTAAAGGAAGTAAGAAGAAGCTTTAAAGCAGCATAAAATCATAGTTAGAAAAGCTCTTAAATAATAGTACTAGGCAACAGGAAACACTACAAAGAAATCTGAGCAAACCCCAAAAGGATCAGAAATGAAAGAAAAATAAATGAAGACAACTAGAAGAGATATGAAAAAAGATGCTGTAAAAATAAGGAAGAAAAAAGAAAGAAAAAAAATTTTAACTTAAAAAGTAAGTCATAAATAAAAGGCATGTAAGCACAAAATACAGAAGGTCAATACATAGGTACAATCTAGTAAAACTAATGAGCTTCAAAGGAAAAAATTCACTGGGCATCTGTGCAGAAATTCCAAATTATTCATAAGGCAAAAAAAATCAGACAGATAACAGACATTGGCACAAACAGCTTATAATAGCAGACAATGGAATTATATATTTAAATACCCAAAGAACTAAAATGTGAGTCAAGGATGTTCTATCCAGACAAACTAACCTTCAAGGTTAAAGAAAACAGTTATGAACACACAAGAACTCAATATTTTTCCCAGGAAATGCCCCTCGGAGTCAACTACAGAACAAGTATCAGACTATTGAGACATTATAGTAGATTTGGCATGAGCACTGGCCTGAAGGTGCCTAAAAGCAATGACAACACAGCAGGAATGAGCACTCCTACCTCCAGACTGTGTACTCTGAACATCATTTCCCACTGAAAAAAATCAGGGTTCCTTGGAGAAATGGCTTATTCCAGATTTAGCACAGGAAACTACACAATGAACTGGGGACATCTTGTCAAATCAGAAATCAAAAATATTAACAATACTACCACAGACCAGTCAAAAGGAAATGATAGGCAACTATTGCCTAAGATGAAACAATCTGAGCATATAAAAGAATGGTGACTCTAATGATTTGGAACAATATTACATAATGATAAAGGGGTCAGTCCAAAGAAGATATAACTATTATAAATATCTATGCACCCAATATAGAAGCACCTAAATATATAAAACAAATACTAACAGATTAAAGGACACCACAAATAAAGAAAATTCCAGACCAATATCCCTGAGGAACATAAATGCAAAAATACCCAACAAATTATTAGCAAACCTAATTCAAAAATGCATCAAAAAGATCATCCATCATGACCAAGAGGGATTTATTCCAGGGATGCATGGATGGTACAATATTCATAAATCAACCAATATCATACACCACATCAACAAAAAGGACAGAAATCATATGATTATCTCCATAGATGCTGAAAAAGCATTTGACTAAATCTAAATCCATTCATGATAAAAACTCTCAACAAAATGGCTCTTCAGGGTAAGTATCTCAACATAATAAAGGCCATATATGACAAACACACAGTCAACATCATAGATAACAGCGCAAACACACAGTCAACATCATACTTAATTGCAAAAAGCTGAAAGCTTTTCCTCTTAAGATCAGGAAGAAGACAAGGATGCCCACTCTCACCACTTTTATTCAACATAGTACTGGAGGTAGGTTCTAGCCACAGCAATCAGACAACACAAAGAAATAAAAGGCATACAAATTGGTAAAGAAGTTAACCTGTCACTGTTTGCAGATGATATTATACACAGAAAACCCTAAGGACTCCACCAAAAAACTATTAGAAGTAATAACTGAATTCAGCAAAGTTGCAAGATACAAAGTCAGTTCACAGAAATCTGTTGGATTCCTATATACTAACAATGAATTAGCAGAAAGAGAAATTAGGAGAACAACTCCATTTACAATTGCATCAAAAAGAATAAAATACCTAAGAATAAATATAACCAAGGAGGTGAAAAACCTATACCCTGAAAGCTCTACAAGACACTCAGGGGAGAAATTAAAGAAAATGCCAATAAGTAGAAAAACATCTAAGGCTCATGGATAGGAAGAATTAATATTGTCAAAATGTCCATCCTGCCTAAAGCAATCTACAGATTCAACGCAATCCCTATCAAAATAACAACAGCATTCTTCAACAAACTAGAACAAACTGTTCTAAAATTCCTATGAAACCACAAAAGACCCTGAATAACCAAAGCAATCTTGAGAAGGAAGAATAAAGATGGGGGATTATGCTCCTTAATTTCAAACTCTACTACAAAACCACAGTAATCAAAACAATTTGGTACTGTCAGAAAAACAGACCCACAGATCAAAAGAACAGAATAGAAAGCCCAGATATTAACCACATATATGGCCAATTAATGTACAATAAAGGATATATGGCTATACAATGGGGAAAAGACAGCCTCTTCAACAAATGGTGTTGGTAAAACTGGACAGCTACATGTAAGAGAATGAAACTAGATTACTGTCTAACTCCATACACAAAATTAGTAAACTCAAAATGGATCAAACACCTAAATGTAAGTCATGAAACTATAAAGCTCATATAAAAACATAGGCAAAAATTTCTTGAATATAAACATCAGCAACTGTTTTCCTGAACACATCTCCTCGGGCATGGGAAACAAAACCAAAAATGAACAAATGGGACTACATCAAACTAAAAGCTTCTATATACCACAGGACACCATCAGCAGAACAGAAAGGGATCCTACAGTATGGGAAGATATATTTATAAATGAATCTTCTGATAAGAGGTTAACATTCAAAATATATAAAGAACTCATACACCTCAACATCAAAAAAACTAATAACTCAGCTAAAAAATGGTCAGAGGACCTGAACAGACATTTCTCCAAAGAAGTAATACAGGCACATGAAAAGATGTTCCATATTGCTAATCATCAGGGGAATGCAAATCAAAGCCACAAATGAGATACCACCTCACACCAGTAAAGATGGCCAACATGCAAAAGACAAGAAACAACAAATGCTGGTGAAGATGCAGAGAAAGGGGAACCCTCCACTGTTGGTGGGAGTGTAAATTAGTTCACCATTGTTGAAAACAATATGGAGGTTTCTCAAAAAACTAAAAATAGAAATACCATTGACCCAGTAATTCCACTCCTAGGAATTTAATTGAAGAAAACAAGATCCCTGATTCAAAAAGACATATGCACCCCTACGCTTATTACTGCACTATATACAATAGCCAAGATATGGAAGCAACCTAAGTGTCCATCAGTAGATGAATGGATAAAGAAGTGGTACATATACACAATGGGATGTTATTCAGCCATAAAAAGAAAATAAATCTTAACATTTGCAACAACATGGATGGAGCAGTAGACACCAAGAAGGGACCAGTTGTTACCAAAGGAGAGGGGGTTAGGAGGGATGTGGGGAGGGAGAAGGGGATTAAGCGGAACTATAATTTGCAATCACAATATAGGTAGGTCAACGGGTAAGCAGTATCATCTCCGACAAGACAGTTAATGATTATAACATCTAAGTTGATAGTGACTGCAGTAGAAGGGGTGAGGACTTGATAATATGGGTGAATGTTGAAACCACTGTGTTGTTTATATGAAACCATCATAAGATTGTATGTCGATGATACTTCAATTTTAAAAAAAGAAAAAAATTCCTCTCTGATTAGTTTTGGAGGTTGCTAGTGCACAACTCATTATCCTGAAAATTGGTCAATTAGTAGAATCAATCATTTATCCTGCCTGTCTGGTATAAACAGTATTTCATGGAAACAAGAGAGACGATGAGGGCAACATTTTCCTTAGAGAATAATCACAGCCAATAAATGCAGAAGAAATGATGGAATTAGAAAATCACCATTTTCTAATCCCTGTTTAAATAATGAATCTAGTCAAAGACGATCAATGGTCTGCTAAAGCCAAAAGGTGAAAGGGAACTTTAATATGGAAAGACCAAGCTGAACCCATTCATCATTCTTTTTTCTTTTTTGGTATCATTAATATACAATTACATGAGCAACATTGTGGTTACTAGATTGCCCCCATTATCAAGTCCTCACCACATACCCCATTACAGTCACTATCCATCAGCCGTAGTAAGATGCTGTAGAATCACTACTTGTCTTCTCTCTGCTACACTGCCTACCCTGTGGCCCCCATTAATTATGTCTCCTAATTGTAATGCCCCTTATCCCCCTATCCCTCCCTTCCCACCCATCCTCCCCAGTCCCTTTCCCTTTGGTAACTGTTAGTCCATTCTTGGGTTCTATGAGTCTGCTGCTGTTTTGTTCCATTAGTTAGTTAGTTAGTTAGTTAGTTTTAGTTAGTTTTGAAAATGGATCTTTACTTTTTTTTGGTATCATTAATCTACAATTACATGAGGAACATTATGTTTACTAGACTCCCCTGTTTACCAAGTCCCCCTCACATACCCCGTCACTGTCCATCAGCGTAGTAAGATGCTGTAAAATCACTACTTGTCTCCTCTGTGTTGCACAGCCCTCCCCGTGCCCCCACACACATATTATACATACTGATCATAGGTCCCCT